ACATTGTATTTTTCTGGATTTTTGTTTTAGATTCCATCACTCACAGTTGAAGAGTACCTATGATAAAAATTACAGTCACCTACAAGCTTTGCAAGTGGGAAAACCTGAAAAATCAACAGTGTATCAAATACTTGTTCTCCCCACTGTACGTCGCGGCCAACCGATCCAATCGTTTTAAACTTCAGTAGAAGCCACGCCTCCAGCAAGAATCGCTTCTCTACAGCCGAGAGTCCAGACCCTCGTATGAAGCAGAGTGAAGGACAGCGTCTGGTTTTTACCAGGCTACCACAGCTGCAGATTTAGCAGTTAATTTACACTGGATGCCTGTCCTGACGCAACCTGGGCTTGAACCTGCAGTCTTAGGAATACCAGACCACAGCACTGACCACTAAACCACTGCAACCACATAATAAATACTGTAAAGTTAAAAATTGTCAGTGTGACTGTAGTACAACACTAATAAACCATATTAAAAGTAAACTTTGTAGGACCTTTTTCTTATCATTGTCTTAAATTGAATGCAAAACCYGATTATACGTATGTGCCCTTTGTGTTGTGGTTTTTATTCAGCTGTTAAGTCTTGAGTCATTATCAATCACCAGCAGTAAAATTAACAGTCTCAGTAAATTATGTCAAGCGTTCAGATCCTCAGTGTCGTCCCGTGCTACACACAGGAATGCACAGAACAATATCATTAAAATGACAGCTTCATCTTGGATAAGTACCCCTTGTGGCACTCGGGTAGACCCTTGCTCACTCCTAAACTACCCATCTGTACTCAAAATCCTAACATTTGTAAAGTAAATTACACAAGTTACCTTCTGGGAGCTTCGTATTAAAGTTCAGCTGTCTTCATCACCTTAACAAAACATTTTTCTGCCATCTGCTGGTACGTGGYAGTTATTTGACTCGTTCACTTTTAAAGTGTTTTTTTCTCTAAATTACCTAATTCCTTAATTTTGTTCCAGCAGTGAAACAAACAAATTTCTGATTTAATTTTCTGTTTTGTTTTACAAAAAACATTTTGTCCAACCTGACTTGGACCTTACAAGTACTTCTCACTACAACAGCATCTTGAGTTAAACACAATGTTGTGCGTGCATTTCTAGGACTCACTTGTCTGAATTTCTCCATCTCTCTGTAGGGCAAATCCTGGAATTCTATCCCCTGGGTCCCCATTTTTACTTTTATCCTTTTAATATCATTGGCATCTTGGAGCAGCAGCTTGAATCCTGGAATGAGTTCATGACACCATCATCAGTTAAAATCAACTCAGAATGATGCACAATACAGGGTTGACATGGTACTAAAATAGCTTCATGTTAACATAWGTAATTTGAAGTAACATTGGTAAGAATTGTTTTGATCTAATTGATAATGTCCTGTTTATGTGAAATAAAAGAAATCTGGGTACTTGTGTCTATACAGAATGGTTATTTAGACATAAAAGGCACAATAACCAGACCCCTTTTATCAAAGTTTCTTACAATCTTTGTCATTATGGGATTTTTTGAAAACTGCATTTGATTGGACGGACAGTTTTAGCCTCAAAGAACCGACATGCCCAGGGACCCACACTGCCTGCCACCTGGCTTCCACACAGCCAGATCTGGAAAGCTTTCCTCAAATGTGGGAGGTTCATGAGGAGGTGTGTTCCTGTAAGGTTTTTTGGACTTAGCCAGGTCAACAGGTACTGACCCCCCAAACTCCCCCCTGAGCATGGCCTGAATAAAGGAAGCCCTGGTTTTCTTTTTCCAAGTAAGGCTGCTTATTGCATGTGGTCATCCTCAATTTTTATAGTGATTTTGTTATTTTTAAAAAATTTTTTTAATTCGTGTATTTTTTTATTTTACATGTACAGTATATTGCTTTGTTGCAGCTGTGGCTGCTTTTAAAGTGCTTTAAAATAAAGTAACAGTAGCAGTGGTAGTGATATTTGTAATAGCTGTAGTAGTAATATTAGTAATAACTCACTTCTAATCATGAGTTATGGATCWTGACCAAAAGAACAAGCTCCCAYTGACATTCTAATGAAGTGCTCAGGTTCTCCCAAGTTGTTGTCAACCATGATGCATATAGATCTGCACTGGGTACAACTCTCAAACACTAACCACCTGCAGTAAACACAGTGTTTATGTCAGCAGAAGACATTCATTAGGGATGTTGACATCTCGTCAGCAGCTGCTGCCATTTTCTTCCCAAATTACTGTGACCTGGGGTCGGATTTATAAAAC